ACACTCACTGCATCTGCAAATCTTGGTCGATCTCAAGTTGTTTCTCGAGGCACTCCTTCCTGCTCTTCACAATTTGTATCCGTGCCCCTTTTTTGCGTGCTTGCACTCGACTCTCCATTGTAACCACCATAATGGTAGTTCGCAGACCTTTTTTTTGGTTCCCAGAGCCCTCCACACATTTCTCCTCAAAGTCTAAGCGCTTCAATTTCGGCTTCTTGCATCAGGACATTTGCTTCCTTCATCGGTGGTGTCTCTTTCCACGAATGGATACGTCCATTCAATATCAGATGCAATAATTTGCATAAGCTTCTTGCCAACAAACAGTTCTCCCGCCATGAAGAAAATGGCTTTGCTGTTCGTGACATTTGCCACGTTGCTATGATGGCTCATAAAGGCACGGAACATCCATCACCACATATGCACTGGTAATTGCATTATAAGTTTTGTGGGACAATATGAAGTAACTTCCGCCGTCTTGGCTTCTTGGAGGCATAGAACACAGACCAGTTACCGTACTGGACAAAGGGCTGATTGGCAAATCTTTTATACTTGGCATATCACCCAACATCTTCAAATCAAGGAATGTTGTCTTGATTAGCATAACCTGAACGAAAGGCAATGGCGACATTATTTTTTTAATAAACAAAAGAGCAAAAAACGGGAAACAATAAACCAAACAACGCTTGCTGCACTCACATATAATTAGGACTTGAAAACATATCTCCTGACGAACAGCATGAATGTGTTCGCTTGGATGGGCTTGAGAAGGCTTCCTTCAGCTCCATAAAATTTTTTAAGAGCTATTATAATCTTTAATAGTACATGACTTTTATCAGTTCCTGCAGAACCAGTAAAAAATATATTTTCATGTCTATTAACAGCTATATCATAAACCAATTGTTATTTTATTGATAAAGCTTCTTGTTCTTGTTGTTCTTGTTCTTGTTGTTGTTGCTGAGATGATGATATTTTATTCTAGTATTTTTTGATTGATACTTGACTGTTCATATTGTAAGAAGAAAAAGAACATGAATAAATGATAGGTATTATTATTAGTTAACTAGAGTGATGACAAGTGGCAATAACCACCATTCTTTTTAATAACTAACTAGAATGACGACGAGTGGTAATAACCACACCACCATTCTTATGATAAACACTTATCCTTTGGCAGCACCAAAGGTATCTGCTTTTCTTCTTTTCTTTCATTAGATTTGTTCATATTTTTTCTTATAAATATAAAGAAATTTTATTTGATCGACAATGCGTACACATTAATTATTAGTATTAGTATTAGCATAAAAAAAGAAATTATTCGATATTGGTTAATTTAGTGGGATTGGAGATAATTCATGTATTTTTTATTAAAAATAGTCCGCTTTCTATAATGAATACTAAGTGAACAAGTTGAACAGGAGTCTGTAAATATTTATACGAGTAATGTTTAATTATCCGGTGCGTGGCACACGTTCAAAAAAGGGATTGATCTGTTTATTATTATTGTTAAATCTTGTTAATCAGCAACGTAATGAAAATTATTCAAAAATAATAATGTGTATTGATCATAATAGCATTAACATTGATATTGGTGAGAAATATGATGATGGAAGCAAAAATAGTAGATTTTTTTTGGTTCATTTAAAAAATAAAATTAAAAATTTGTTTAAAAAAAAGGTAGAAAAATAAAATAACTTTTTTTAAAAAAAAGACAATTTAATTATATAACGAATGATATTATCTATAACAATAGCCAATTTCTCATTGTCGATACAACTATAATACTAATAATGATGATGATAATACGTTTCAAAATTCATTACCAAATCATAAAGATGTTGATGTTTCTAATATTAATAATCCGGAATATGCTAAAACAGCTCTTCAAGCAATTGATCAAGTTTCATCAGAATTGAGAGAAATAAGCTTAAAAGTAGTTGATTTTTTGATAATAATAATTAATACTTGCTACAATATTTATATTTATAATATTTATAATATTTATAACATATAATATACATAAAATAGATTCATGAACATCCAGAATTAGCATATCAAGAAAAATATGCGCATGAATTGTTAGTTACATATTTGAAATCCAAAGGATTTGAAGTAACTCCAAATGCATATGGAATCGAAACAGCTTTTACTGCAGAATTTCAATCTAAATCTGGAAAAGGAAAAACAGTGTCATTTAATTCTGGTAATTAGATTGGGTTTTATTTTTCTTTATCTTCATCATTAATTATTGTTAATTTCTTACATAAATTTATTTTTAGAGTGAGTGAATTTTTTAAATATTGGTTTTCCCTCATAAATTTTTATACATGATTGTTTAAATCGAATATTCTGTGAATTTTAAGATATGATGCACTTCCAGAAATAGGTCATGCATGTGGTCATAGTAAGTCACTATACATGTATAATATATATTTATGAACATGGAATTATAAATTAAATATTTTTTAAATCTCTATCATATTTACTATATATGTAAATACAGATTTAATAGCAATAAGCGGTGTTGCTGCTGCAATTGGTATTAAATCAGTTATTGAAAAATATGAAATTGAAGGAACTGTAAAATTATTAGGCACCCCTGCTGAAGGTATTTATTATTATTATTATTATTATTATTATTATTATTATTATTATTATTTTTAATATTATATATTATATGTGTTTGTGCTTTTTTTTTTTTTAAAGAAATTGGTAGTGGAAAACTTGATTTAATTGAGGCTGGCGCCTACGATAATGTTGATATTTCTTTAATGGTTCATCCAAGGTTTTCAAAATAATTTACATCGTAATAATTACTATTTTAAAAATGCTATTATTAATTATTCTTCTATATGTTTTTAAATAGCGTTACTGATGCAGTATATATGAGTTTTCTCGCATTAAGACCTGTCACTGTAGAATATTTTGGAAAGAATGCACATGCTTCAGGTATTCTAAGAAACCAAATATGTTTCTTATACATATATGTGCGTGTGTAATATTTATTTATTAATTTAAAAATTTTTTTAGGGGATCCTTGGAATGGTATTTATTATCAAATATATATATGAATGTTGGTTTTTTTTTGGAAAATTTAAAATCAATAAAATATTTTTTATTTTTTATATAATCAATTAGGCATTAATGCATTAGATGCTTTAATTTCGGCTTATAACAATATTTCATTGCTGAGACAACAAATTTTGCCTACTGATAGGTAACAAAAAAAAAGTCTTTAATTAATTCATTATTCAAAAAAATTTACTTTTTTATTTTTTAGGATTCATGGAATTATTACAAATGGTGGAGAAGCTCCAAACAGTTAAATAATTTTTTTTTTGAATTTCAATCTATAATAATAACCATTTATTTAATATTATTTATTTATTTAGTTATTCCTGATTATACTTCTGGGCACTTTTATATTCGTGGTAAAACAATAAGTGATTTAAGATCTTTACAACCACGTGTTCAAAAATGCTTCGATGCTGCATCTGAAGCTACTGGGACTAAAGTAAAAACTAATTGGAAAAGAGGTGTTTATGGTAAAAGCAATTTAATATTTACTTATTTTTTTGAAATAATAATGATAATGATAAAATGATAATAATATAATAATAATAACCTATGAATGAATAGATGTTAAAACTAATGAACCATTAGCTACAAGATATGAATATTATTTAACCAAAGTATTTGGTAAAAAATTCCAACCAAAACATGAACAATTAGCATTACCAAGTGGCTCAACTGATCAAGGTAATGTTACGTATGTAGTACCTGGTATACATTCAATGTATGATATACATGCACTACCTGGCGATTTCAATCATACAATAGGATTTACTGGAGCTGCTAAAACTATTTTGGCACATGAGGAAACCATTATGGCTTCTAAAGGTATTACTTTGGTTGGTTTGGATTTTTTGATTGATGATGAATTTTCTAAAGAAGTAAAGAGGGCTTTTACTGAAAATCAATGATCAGTTGATCAAGAATAACAATATTGGAATGCACGATGATTTCTAAATTCAAATTGAAATTAAACTTTTTAAATAGTCTGGAATTAATTTTTAATTAATGATGTTTCTAAAGAGATATAAAAGCACGTATCATATTATTCTTTGCCAATATTCTAAGAGAATAAATGTTATACAAATTTTTTAATTGAGCATGCTATGTAATGGTAAAAATTCGCTGTATATACAAATTGGTTATTTCTTGTGAAAATTTGCAGATAGATTCCAAATTTGGTTAAACCGCGTCGATTTATGTTGCCAAAATAAAGGATTTGTCCCAAGTATCGTCTTGTTTTCTTTTTTATTTTTGTGATCGATAAGGATGCCTCTTAAGCATCGTCTTGTTTTGCAATCTAGAAACTAATAGTAAAATAAAAAAAAGATCACACATCCATCTAAAGGTCCTAATCAAAAATAAAAGTGATTCATAATTATATTTATTTGAAATATTTATGACTATTCGAAAATCCATCCATTACCAAAAGTCATCTGATGTATTTCGAATATTCACACTTGAGCAAGGGTAGTATTGGTAAAATATCATCTCTGGTCTTATAAAAATATTATTGTTATTATTCAATTATGGAAACATATATGTATATATTGGATACAGATGAAGATTTTTCCAACTATAACACTTGTTCTTAAATAACACTGATTATACCTCTCCCGAAACTTCATAGATAGGTTGTTGCCACAACTTATAGTAAAAAGACCTAAAAATTTTACTATTAGAAAAGAATATTTTCACAACAAAATTTAAATAAAAAATAAAAAATGAGAAATAGAATGAATATTGATACTTCGAGCAATCATCAATGATATTGTTAAATGGGTCAGAAACAGAAGATTTTGATTTCGAAAAAGCATATAAGCAGTGGGAAAATGAGAAAGAACAATTATGGATGGATGTCAAGTAAAATCATTACAACCTTAGTATTAGTATTATGACAAAAGTAAAAATTTATATTAATATTAGCGTTGTCAAAAATCTGGCCGCAATTGCTTTTTTTGAATTGATCGTTCCTGAGGAGAGATACTATTTTGGTAAGCCAATAATAGTATATATGAAATCCTTTGGTTTAATTAAATCCAGGAATGAATATCCTTGTATTAGCGAACTGACAGTTTGTGGATGCCAAAGTCGACCAGTTCAATCCTACAAATTATGTTTAAAACAACAACAACACCTACTCCATAGTCGCAAAGTACAACAAAAAAAACGACGTGACAATTTAAATTTATTAATAATATTCAGTAGTCTTCTTCATTGTATGTATGAATTTAATTATTATTTGATTAAAAGAATGTAAAAAGAGAATGACAAATTTTTTTCGTTATTTTTTCGATTTTAAAAACTTCAGATGGTTTATTTATAATTTGTTAACGTTATTTTAATAATTTGCTTTAAATAATAAATCTACAATATTAAAATTCATTCTATTAACTTTGGTACATAATAAATAATATTATATATATTATGATTAGTAATAGAGGGTTTGCAAATAAATATATATAGTTGATAATTAAGAATTAAACGTTTTTCCTTTAATATATTTACAAAAGACGGATGTTCTTGGATCTTGGTCTGATATTTTTCTTACTAGTCATTGAAATTATGATATCAATGCTGCTCAAGACGCAAATTTTATGTAATAAATTATATGAGGGACAACATTGAATATGTCGAATATGGCTATTCTATAAAACCTCAGGATTCTCATTCAGCTATTGCTATCAAGATTGCTTTCAACTTCTCATTCCACTTTATTACCATTTCCAAGAACCTATGCACCTGCACAAACCATCAACACCAGTCAATATATACTGGACAACACTTCTTCAATACACTCTCAATATCAAAAAGATCCGATGGGAGTCCTCCTAGTTAGGGAGATTTAATGAAATAGTTGGTGATTTGTTTAAATCCTCTTTCCAAAGAAAATGCCAACTAGCATTTGATAAGCATCGAAATGAATTTAATTTTGGAAATGTATTTGTTTGGCTATTTCTTTCATCCACAATTTAGAGGTGGAATATTATGATTAAATCTGATCGAATAAATATTCAATTTAGACAAAAAATTGCGAATAATATGTAAAATAGTAGTTTGCATTTGGAAAGTTCTAGGTGCCGGTCAAAAAAAATCTTGATAAACAATTACTTTTGGAGGAAGTATCGAAACATCCTTGGATTTTAAATCATAATCCATTGCTGCTGCTGTTTCCGCCTAAATTTCCCTATTTAAGTTGCAGAACTAACAAAAGATGATTTAGAGATTTATTTTTATTTGCAACTTTTAAATTAAATAATTCCATAGAATTATAGATATATTAATGAATCATAAAAATAAATAATAATGCGATTTTTACATAATCTATACATAATAAAAAAAACCCCCATTAACGTTCCATACATTCTTTCACGCATATTTATGTGTATATGGGATTTCAAACAATAACATATATTTTATAAGATTCCATTAGAATAGTATTGAAAAGTGTCATATAATCGTGTAAATACATTACAACAACTTGACATAATCAACTTTTCAACAAAATCGTCAAATTGCGGTTGAGTAAGTGTTAATTGAAATCGATCTTTAAGATGAGAAGAAGTTGCTTCTCCGGAGAGAAAACATGGAAGTTTCGAATCTAAATATTTAATATTTTTTAATAGTTAATATCAAATTGATACTATTAATTTGATAGAATCATGCTGAAATTTTTTGTCTTGGAAATCTGAATATCTTCCTGAAAAGGGAATCCGATTTCCTTGCAATAAAAACTTTCAGCACATGTATAATTTATTTTATTACCTTTAGACGTCATTTCAACCAACGAGACAATGTTATCAGCATGCTTTCTTAACACATTAAATGCTTGTTTTAATAATGACTTAAATTCTAAAAACTTTTCACTGTTTAAACCACCCAAAATATCTAAATATTCCTGAGACAACTTAAATGGTGCCAATTCAAATCCAACAGAACCAGGTGAATTTGAAAGCATAAATCCAAAATCAATGTCTAAGATTTATTTTTAAATATGATTTAAAAATTTTGCTAGAATATAAACGACAAATATATAATTTTTAAAAATCAATATTCAACACCTACATATTAAATGACCTTCAGTATCCACAAGAATATTACCATTATGGCTATTAATCAATAATGATTATTTAATCTGAGTGTAAATAATCATTTACCAAAAATAAAGATCTATTATTTATTCTTTGCTTTTTAAACCAAAAAAAAAAACTTACCGATCTTTTACTTGTAAAATATAACTCACTAAAGAATATGCGGCCAAACTTCTCATAAAATTATCTTGAGCACGCAAAAAAGCTTCAGAGGTCACATCTCCATATGTCTAGAAATCAAAGATAAATAAGGGTGAACAATTTATAAACAAAATAATATTTAATGATAGATGGTTACCTTGACGAAATAATCAAATAGTGTGAATACAAATCCTTTTTCGTTTAATCTTTTAGCATAAGCATCTTTTTTAATTGAATGGATCGAAATAGAATTTTGTATTGTTTCAATTAAACCAGAATGATCAGAAGTAACTAAAACTCGATAACTAAGGAATAAAAAAAAAATATAAATTTAATAAGTAAACAAATAACCAATCAAATATAATATATATTACAATACCAAAAAATGATAATACTTACTATTTAACCCACACATTAACATGGTCTTTTTGCCATATTCTTTCCATTTCCTTGATTAACTGACATGCTAATTGTTCTTGTCTCAAATCTGCTCCTGTTTTAACAATAACAGAAAAAAGACGCCAGTTAGGATGATTACCAAAAGGAGATGCCTTACGAATACGTTCTCTCTTAGTATTCCAATCTTCTCGAAATACAGCGGCTATTTAATTTGTATAAAATAATTTAATTTTAATCGATATATGCTTGTATATATATATATTATTGATATTTCCCAAAATTAATTTTTGATCTATTACCACTTGGATCATCTCTGTTTACAGCACTCAAAACGCGTTTTTCATCTTCTAGCATTTCACCACCACCACCTTCACCTCCGTTAGCACCAACTCCACTGATCATTCCATGAGTTTTCAATTTCAATATCCTTTCCTCTTCCAAAACCATCATTTCATTAAAAATCTTTTGGCGGATTGCCTCTGTATTTGCTTTTGGCCTTTGAATTGGTTCTCCAGTAGAAGACACTCGCGATTGTTGCGTTGCGTTTAATTGAGCAAGCATTACAGCGGCAGTACGCATTTTTTCTGCAAATTCATCAGCTGAATTTGACTGTCTACGATTTATGACTTCTTTTAAGTATTCACTATTCGATTCAGGAAGTGTTGGAGAAGTAGGCGTATATGAAATAGTTAACGATGTTTCAGAGGGAATTGAAATTGGATCATCATTAGAATCAGATTCAACAATGGTATTTAAATTAGGTGCTGACATAATTAATTTATCAATCGACGCGGTTCTTTTAGAAGACTTTGATGATGTAGCTAATCCCAGTGGTGCCGATAACGTTGGTGAAATAGTTATTTCATCATCTTCATTATTACTATTATTATTATCATCATTATTATTATCAACATCAACATCAAAATTAAGCATACCATTATCAACATTATCATTAATGTTATTATTTTCATTTTCATTTGAAATATCATTTTCTTGTTTTTCTGATGGATAATTATCATTATTGTCATCATCTTTTTCTTTTTTTTGTAATATTTCAGGTGTTTCAACATCCAATACCTTTAAACTTTGGTTTTCATTATCGTCGCCATTTTGAAGATTCTTAATACTTTCAGAGGGAATTTCAGTACCAATTTCAGTGTTATCATCTTGAGTTTGCTTTGGATCAGTAGCCGCGGGGGGAAGCTCGATTGATAGACGTTTTGACTTTTCTTCGTGAAAAAGACGATGCAAGGATTTTTGCCTTTGTAATTTAGCCATATCAATATTCATTTCACCCTCAAGAACTTCTACCATTAACAAGTAAGGTACCTATATAATCCAGTAACAAATTGAATTAGTACTAGTTATTTTTTAAATTGTATAAATTTGAGTTATTTATACATATAACAACTAATTCAAAAGTTTTATAATTAAATGTATTATATAAATAAATACCCGTTCTGCTGAATTTAAAACTACTGCATCAGATGGAGATATCCTAAGTACTCGGTGATGATATGGTTTTTCGGAGGAAGCGGGACACCATAATGGTATACAAATTTCTGCTGGTAAACTGTGATTTAATATGGTTAATTCTGCTTCTAAAGCACTTTGCCTTGCTTTTTTTGGAACAATAATTAATCTTGAAGAAATATCTTGCAAAGCTAATAAGAACTGCAATTCTGAATTGAAGTAATTTCCTTTGAGAAGACGCCTTTGTCTTTCTGGGCCATATTCTTCTATTTCATCAAGCAAGGCGTCATCAGAGAATTCTGTCGAGGTACGATAAACTGTGAATATTTCATCGTCATTGTCAACAACCTCGTTAAAAAAGAATTTTTTTTTAAAGTTTGTAGTAAGATCTACAGATTGCGGTCTAAACTTGTTATTTCTTCTCATCAAACTTCCTTTATGCAAATCATCAAGTGATGGAGATGTTAAAGGCTTTAGATTTACTCCGTTACGATGAGGAAAAGATGAAGATGAAGACCTTAAAAGATTTTTTTTTGAAAATTTTACTGATTTTTGATTAAATTGTTCATCTGTATTTGAGTCATCATCAGTTGATAAATATGTTGAACCAATTTCGTGCTTTTGTAACTCATCATTATCATCAGATGGTGGAAGATTTTCTAGATTGATTTCAAAACCTCTTGCTCTTCTACCTTGTGCTATAGCAATTTGGCCAGCACTTTTCATTAAAGATGGTGCGAATATACCAGCAACCATGGCACCAATTCCAACAAGAGCCGGAAGAACGTTTTCCTTAACTTTTTTAGAGGATATTCCAGGATCAGTAATGGATTTTTGATCATCGCTTTGAGTCCCTTCAAATACTATTGATTGGCATTTGTTTATGACTCTTTTGCAGACGGTAAAGGCAGGTGAGGATGGATTAGAGGATAAATCCGAGAGGTATGCTTGAAAATACCATAAAGTCTGAAATTTATTAAATTTATATATAAATAAGTAAACATGCACGCATAATTTATTAATAATATAGCGCATAATTTTTTTTTATATTTGATAGTTTACATCTAATAATGTTTGTTAGAATTTAAAAACGTACCAGTATAGCCATATGTTTTGACTTTTCGCAATTTTCTAATATAAAAAATTCCAATGCGACCGATTCAGTAGTTCGACAAACGAGCAAGTGGCTTATTTTTAAATCAAAAAAAAAAGAAAGAGAGAATGCACAAACAAAATGATCAATAGATTTAAATTAATATGATTTCTTACATAATTTATTTGAAGGGTGAACAAAATCATCAATCATCCTCTTTTTTCAAATTCTACCTAACCAAGGCTTTTTTTTTTCTTCTTGTAAAATTATAATGAATCAACTGAAAGAAACATTGGTGAAATTTTGGAAAAACTACCAAGTGAAAAGTAACGTCCTTTACCATAACTGAGGCAAAAAGAATTCGATCTCTGACATTGGAAATTTCTTGAGTTCATTGCATAAGTAGTGTTGAATTCCAACTGAATCAGGATATTTAAATAAGTAGGATATTGCCATCGAACTATTGAAATGTTCACTTTGGAATAATCGGAGCAAGAGTTGTGACATTTTGGGGTTTGTTTTTTTTTTAAGAAAATAATATTTACGCTATTATATTAAGCAGCTGATTATGGTTTAGAATAATGAAAATTTTGGCAAGTTCTCTCTAATAGTGAATCTTGGTTTATGATATATATATATTATTTAAAGAAGAAAAATATGATTTTCATCATCGAATTCATTTATGGTAAAAAAAAATTTTAGTTTAAATCGGTGTAATCATATGAGTCATTGTTTACCTACAAAAATACATATGGGCAGATCAAACAAGGAATGGCAGTCTATGACGAATCATCTGAAAGAATTCTATTTTTAATTTGTAAATCAAATGATCCGACTCCCTTTCTAACATCACAATACCCATCATCACTTACATATAAAAAAAAATTAATACTTTACTATAAACAAAATTCTAAAATAAATATTTAAAACTTGGAAATTGGAAATTACTATGTAAAAAAAATTAAGTCCAAAGATTGAATTGTGCATATCCAAATTTCTTTATTATAGAACTTATAGAGCTGATAGACCAAACTTCACATTAAAGGTTTCGTCGAGTGTTATTTGTTTACCCTGGCAAAAAATATGTCACAATAAAGGGTTTTCCATATATTTTCTTCGATTTTACATGCACTTGACCCCCTGTTGATCTGTAATGTCCTGCGACTGTTATGAATATAGGACTATTCCTCGATTAATTAATGATTGTCATATTTACAAAATCTAGTACTAGTTGAAAAAAAGTTTAAATACAGTACCTGGACAAAAGTATCGGAACACTTGCTTTATTAATTGCGCAAAAATATACATAATAAACATATATGAAATTTATATCATTTGCGCTTTAGGTTCTTGTGAATATCTACGGAAAATCCCATGTATCTAGTTCTGTAGAACTCGAATAAATATATAAAAATGAAATTTGAATAAAAAATTTTCTTTGACGATCACTAAATTTCTGACGCGAAATTTTTTATTTATTTTATTACTCAAATTCTATGTAATAATTTTTAATTTAAAATTTTAACTACTTTTAATATTTAGTTGGGTATCTTTTGCTCTTTATACAAGCCTGGATTCTATTAGGCATGCTTTCAATCAAATTCATTAAAACATTTTGAGGAATTTTATTCCATTCCTCTTTTAAAGCAGCCTCAAGTTCAAGTTCATTAAGATTTCTTTGATTGTTAGGACGACTCCTAATACGGTATACTGTTGTGGTGGAAGCCAAGTATTTTAGAAATATTTCTATATGATGCTCCACTTTTATAAAGGCCAACTATTTGTCCGTGTTGAGCTTCAGTTAAATTAGACTTTTTTTTTTTTTGAAATTTAAAATTTTGAAAACCTTTTTAAAATTCATATCCACCGATGTTACACTATTTTAGTACATTTTTGGGAACCAATTTTTTTAATTTTTTTTAGGAAATGATGATAAACAAATAGTTTAAATCAACATGAGGTAGAAGGAATGTTTAAAGGATATTTGTGTTAATCAGAATGTTTTCATGCTTCAGAATATTGTTTATTAAAATTTAAAAAATCTTTAATCTTTAATATTTTACCTTAAATCAATAGAGGTTTAACGAAAAAATCATCAACTATTCCATGTAGCGAAGATCACATTCAAATATATTTACTGCCAGGCGTTTTTATCTGTTATTTACTGGAGAAGAGGGTGATGAGAAATTAAGAAATTTACTTGGTGAAAAAGATTGGGTGGGGCGATTAGATATTATGACAATAATCAGTATGTCTATTAATAATTATTGATTTTTTAATAGGTAAAGGAAGTAATAGTTTTATTTATTTATTTAATGTTTTTTATTATTTATTATATTTAATGTTTTAATTGAAATTAATATATTATTATTTTATATACAATTACAAAAAGATATATATTTATAATTATTGTTTTAATATTTTTACTAATTTGGTTATAATTATAATAAAGGCGATTTTCATGTTTAAAATTTCAATTACTGCACTTTCCACTTATTTGTAAATGATTTTTTTTTTTCAACATGAATGCCTTTATTCCAAAATTATGGTGAATCTTCTAATTCTATATATATAACGATTTGTAAATACATCATTCAATTTCAATCATGATAAAGTGTTCAAATATGCAAATTTTTTTTTTACGAATCAAAACAAAATCATAATACCTTTTATGTCAATAAAATAATGGTGGATTTGATCAAGAATTTTTTTTACAACGCAAAATTGGATTATTTAAAAATTTTAAAAAATATGGTCCCCATATTTTTGTTTTCCCAGATTTCGTCCCCCAAAATGTTGCGCAAATCGGTGGATATGTTTTTTAAAAAAAGTTCTTAAAAAATATGTAATTAAAAATAATTTTTCAGAATCACCAAACTTGGGTTTTCATATACAAAATTTCCAAAACATATTATTATGTAGGCTCTTGGACAATTTCTAAAACATCATATTAAAAATTTTTGATTGTCAAAATTTAATCAAATTTCATTTTTATATATTTATTCGAGTTCTACATAGTGATGTTAGCCGGCTTGAGCCAATCAAATTCCATTCTCAAAAATAATAAAAATATTCATTCATTCGTAATGCCGCCAAAAAAAGAAAAAGAAAACTAATCCACAAAATAAGCAATTAATTAGTTCCAACACTCGTAGCAAAGCAAATTCTTGGT